ACTGCTAACTGCTTAGACGCATGAAAAGGGACAATAACAACTTGATCAGTGACAATCTCATATTTTTTTAATTTACGATCCTAAAGCACTTCCAGAAAACGCATGTTTTCTCTTCCCTTTCCCTCTTTCGTAGACGGATCCGAGGCGGTTTCCTAGGAGAAGGGGGGAGAGGAGGGGGGGCGGGGTGGGGGGAGGAATGATTCTTCTTCCCTTCCCCCTGTTCATCACTATAGCGGAAGCCCCACCTTCCCCTCCCCCCTTCCCCGGGCTACCCCGCTAACTCCCTCCCCACTAGTTGATCCTAAACTCCGGCAACGATCAGGGACGGGGAGAGGGGGAGAGCGAAGCTCTTGGGCGGCAAGGCAGAGGGAGGGAGGGGGGGAGGGGTGACATGGAATATCGACCAGAGCTTTCTACAGTAAAACAACTGCTACCTGAGCTCCTGGGCGAAAAGCCCCCTTTCATTCCCTCCCCCCATGGATCTGCCAGTGCAACCTCTCCCCTGTCTTGCCCATTTCCAAGTGCCAAATTTGCCTGCCAAATTTGTTTCCCAAGCAAAAATAAGACTTCCATAAGTCACTCTTTGGAGGAATACTGTTTCATGCCATGTTCTTTATCATAAATGCTATAAAAGTAACTTCCCCATCTTGCTCATTTCTGAATTTTATCCACATAATTACTTGTTTATTTTTAAATCTACTTTTCGCAATTTTTTTCAGTAAGTGGTTGGTTGACAGCTCTACTATTTCAGTGACTATTTGGCAGGGCAACCAAAAAAAAAAATTCCCATGAACAAACCTTTAATACGGCGTGGAGGCTGTATTTCCAGGCCACATTTTGCGGCCCATCCAATTGGGAATATCTGACGACTGTCATAGCGCTCTTTTGAATCGTACGCTTCGCTCCAACCATCATATCCGATTGTTATAAAGTCTCCTTTGACATCAATAATCGTGGCCGGGCATAGGCGACTGTTGAAGTTTTTTCGGTCAACCGCTTCGAATTTCATGCCCACTTCGAAGCCGTTCTTTCCGGGGTGATGCTGACGCGAAATCTGCAAACACGCATGCAATGCGCATGGAATTCCAGTACTCAGTGCATTTAAGCATATCAGGAATTAGAATTTGTTAAAATTGTAGGCTCGATGGGAAGCATGGCGCAGAAACAAGTAGCATTGTACACATTTAGAAAATTTGATTAGGCCAATAGGAAAATCAATACTTAAGCAATTAATTCATTAATTCATTTTTTATTGGCAAATTTGTGCCAGCAAATGCGAGAAAATCGAATCACGCAACCCTCAAAAATGACCACCATCTACGCTTCCACAAGCATTCTTGGTAGTTGCTACTGTGAGGGATTTCGAGTGTTTCTTGCGCAATTTCTCATAAATAGCAAAACTTGGGAAGTTTCCGCGCATCTGTAGCTAATTTGGTTGCAGAATTACAAAACCGTCACAGTCAAATTCCAGCGCGTCCATATTCGTGATATAGAGTGCAAATTTAAGTAATTTCGTGCATATCTCCTCTCTGCATGTCATCGTAAGTTAAGCTTACAGAATTTCAGCATCCCAGCTCTTTTTGATTGCAGAATCACAAAACTATCAGCTTCAGTTCAACGCATCAACACAGTCGAAAGCTCATTTTACGCCTGAGCATCCTACGCATGAAAAACTAGCAATCTCGGGCTCTTTTTTGCCTTGCATAAATGCAGAAAACGCATAATAAAAGGCAATTTCTCAGCTGATTACCGGTGTAAAACACTCCAGTGGTGCATCCGGGGACACGCCATTCGAGTCCGGCTTTAATTGGTTTTCAACAAATTTCGGAAATGCTGTTAAATTATATTGATAACCAAATGGCGGCAATAATTTTCTTCCATTGTGCCTAGAAAAGGAAAACGAAAATACGTGAAAAAGCAGAAAAAGTTCAATAAGTAATAAAAATTTCCTTTAAAAGAAACGAGATGAGAGATACCCGACAGGTTTGATACGTTCGTCGTTACTTATCAGCCAGTGATCATTGG